CCCCCCCCCATCGGCGGCCGCTGCCTTCACCATCGCGTGCGGTATTGCATGCACGGCTGCACCGAATCACCTGCCCCTTGCCCGCACAGAAGCAGGTCGGGTCAGGTTTGGTTCCGGAAAATTGATCCGTTTACAAAAAATGGGTCGGGTTGACCCGAACCCGAATAGTGCTAGGTCAGTTTCGGATTAGACCTGAACCCAACCCGTGACCCGAAATTGACACCCCTACTCATTGATCACATATCTTTTATATAATATTTAAATACCTTAATGTTATCATAATCAAATGAACTAAGACTCATTAGATTCGTCCAATTGAACCACTCGATTTTATTATTGTTTGGTCTTTCAAGGAGGGGATGGCCGGCATCCGGTGACGATCAAGCAAGTTTGTGGTGTAAACCATTTTCATTCAAAATCAGACAATTTTAATTTACAGTCAAAATGAACTACTTCTGTTTACATTACATTAACTATATTTTACTATGTATCATTTTGTATTCCAATGAATCATTAAAATTAATAAAACTCATGCATTTGAAATACTTTACATCCTAAAATAATCCAATCAAAAAGCCCTTTGGAGTAAAAGAACTGCTTGCTTGTTTTTATTAAAAAATATATATTTAATACTACACAAGAGCCATACAAATAGCCTATAATATTTGTAAATGGGATTTAAAAAAAAAGTTATTATGTGTGCTCAATTATGTTGAGCTCATTAATTAAAATTTAATCAAATTTTTATAAATATATTTATTAACTAAGCTAAATAAAAATTAAATATTTTTAATGAAATTTTATCTGAAAAATGCATGCTGCTTGTGCAAGTTGTCATTTAGTCTGATGATCATCTATTGTTGTGGAATTATGGATGTCGATTTGGGTCAACGAGACGGGTTTAGGTTCAACTCGAGTTAACTCGGGTGTAAACGGGTTGATCCAAACCCGACTTGGTTAGCTAAACATGTCAGGATTTTCAACTCGGACCCGACCCGCACGGGTTACTAGGTTGACCCGACCCAACCCTCAAACCCAATTAGCCAAATGGTGCAATCATTGAGTCCATGAGTCACAATGGTAGGATATGGGCTATATGCAAGAAGAGAGGCCGACGGTGACTGCTGAGGTGGAGCAAGTGGTGAGGTCGAAGGCTTAACCCAACTAGGATGCTAGGTCGCGTACTCGCGTTTGTTGTGGGTTAGGGTCATGCAATAGGCCAAACCGCCGAAGGAGGGGGGATCTAATCATTCACGTGATTTCATCTCACAGATGGAGTCATCTTTCACAGGTTGAGTGGTTGACCATCGAATTTTATAACAATTCTCACGGGTTAGTTGGGTAAACTTTAGGCTTTTGGGCCAATCCGAGCCCGACACGTTTTTCTAATAGGTCAAAAATCCGAACCCAAATCAACCCATTTTACAAACGGGTTGACTCGAAACCGAATTTTTTATGGTCGGATTTCAGATTGTGTGAATTTTTGACACCCCTATGTGAAATCTATATAATCACGCTTAAAATAACAATTATAACGTTTCACTATTTTAATGAGCAAAGGTGGGTCGTTTGTATACCCCCACAAAATATAAAACTACAATACATAAAATATAAAAATTACACTTAATTTAAAAAAGAATTATATTGTAATAAATTCCTAAATATCATTCTATCTTTTAAGATTTAAGCATCCTTTTGAAAATAATAAATCATCAAATATATAATTTAAATTTATGATAATGAAATAATAATCTTTTCATTGGGATCCTCTCACAAAATTTAATTTATATATCATGAATTTTTCACCGAGGTCCATATCTACTATACTATTGTCAACTGTAAGAAAGAGAGAGGCGCCAACATATTGGCTCAACCAGTTGTTGCCTCGCTACTCGTGGTTCTCCATGTGGGCTTGTCTACCTCCGCTATAGGAATCAGTCATCTCGTCTCTGATAAAACCTCTCCTACTCTTCTCACCTATCTGGCTATCTATCTCTCCTTCTCTCTCCTTCTCCACTGGTCCCTTCTTTCTTCTTCGAACTCTTAATTATCTCCAAAAACAGAGAAAGAAAAGTGCCGACGGAAACGGCTATAATCAACAAGGCAGCAAAGCATAGCTAAAAGGCTTCTTCCTATTGAGGTAATTCTGCTATCTGCAGCACCTGCTCTGTTTTTTCTTCTGCTTCTCAATTTTTTTTTTCTTTTTTTTTTTCTGTTCTTCAAGCATCACATAAGCTTCCGCACTCTGCTAATTCCTCTCTGTTCAATAAAAAATATAAAAAAAAGCTTCTCTTCGTTCTGTAAGCTTCGGTGGTTCGAATGCTGTGCAGCAAAACTGGAAGCTTTAGAGAGGAAAAAGAAACTATTTTGTTTGTTTTTTTTATTTTATTGATATGAGAGGATGAGGAGAATCTGTTGCTAAGGCCGTCGATGTGTAGTGATTCTGCGCCATAGAAGAAAAATGAGATTTTTATTAGTTTGGTTGGAGCTTAACTCTCTGAAAGTGAAAGATTTTTGAAGGAATATGCTTTAATTAACTCATAAAACTGTAAGAAATTAATTGGCTGTAAATGTTTTAAATAAAATTTTGTGTTTTTTAAAATTAGTAAAATATAAATTTTGATTTGATTTTAAGTAAGCCAGCAAGATTATGGATTTAAGAGCCTTTCGATTCTATCTCAGCTATCAGTGGTGCGAATCTCAAAGCATGCGGAGGGATGTGAATAAGAATATCTTTTCCTTTCTATTGAAAATCTGTGCATAGGGTTTTCTTGACGAGGTCTTTCGGAGTGCCTTCAGCTCAATTGTTGGCAAATTGTTTCCCGGGACCTGGCCCACAAATGGACCCACTTTCACTGTTGGTTTGGAAGAAGATAGAGAACGGGAAATTAGCGTTGTACTCTGTTAGAAGAATTATGTATTTACTTCTCTCGTAAATTTTTTTTACTAAGAGCTTGTAAGGAGATGCGTAGGCTTGGAGTCTGTTTGGGATGATTATAATTTGATCGAGAGTTGATTATAAATTTGCCGTGGAGAATGTAATATTTTTTAAAGTTATCGTAAAAAATATTCTTAATACAAAACTATTGAAGCAATGAAAAAGTGGTGACAAAGCAGAAAATATAGTTTCATTCTGAAAAATAAAATAATAAGATCATCTCCAACCAAATTGCAAATCGGTGTTTGCTGTCCGCCTCAAGCTCCACCAAAGGTCATTTACAGTCATATTTTTTAGAGGTCATATTGTCGTTGCACTATTCACAAACTCAAATGGCTGAAGCAAAGAAAGACGCATGGAGTTCGGTTGAGAAAGAATGTACGTATAATATTTCTTTTTTGTTATAAATGGAGTTCGATTGAAGATAAGTTACTGTGTTTTGAAGTGAAAAATGAAATTTTTCGGATTGAGATGCCCTAAAAAAGCCTTTTTTGGTGTCTACCAACTAAGACTAGTTGTCCAATTGGGCTTTTCTATGCTATAAAATCTTTTTAACTTGGTGATTAAAAGATTAAAGAGTAGCCTCATGCATTCGATTGCCATTTGTGGCTTTAGCTATTAGCTCTAAGCCTTTTAGTTTCCATCATGTTTATAACTCTATTCTCTTAGAAATATTTGTTGCATATATAATTTTATGATGTTCACATAAGCTATTATTGATCTTCCGATCTAGATTGGAAAAGTAAGGAGGGGGTTGTGACATTGATGTTGAATTTATTGCTTCGTTTGGGACAACTTTTATATTGCTTTCTAAAATAAATTTTTATACTAAAATTATACTTTAAGAAGCAATAAAAAAGATATCCCAAATGAAGCCTAGAATTATAAGAATGATTTAAACCACTACTACTTGCTACTTTATAGCAATTTTAATTTCTAAAACAAATTTTTATACTAAAATTCGCAATAAAAAAGATATCCCAAATGAAACCTAGGATTATAAGTGATTTAAACCAATGCTACTTGCTACTTTATAGCAAATTTAATGTGTAAAATTTTTGCACGATTTTTAGTGCTCCATTGTGTGGTGATTGAAATATTTTCAAATTAATTGTGTTTAAAATCGTTACAACTCACTTAAAATTTATAGTAATTTTAAAATTGTGCAATCAATTGTTCACATTAGTTCCTCATTTATACATTTATTTAACACAGGTTAAGTAGAATGAATTATTATATATCTTAAAATATCTTAATATTTTATTATTTTATAATATAATTTTAAAAATATTTCTTGATTATTTTTTAAATTTATATGAAAATTAAATTATATAATATAAATATCATATTATATATATATATATTTTAAAGTTTACATTTATGAATCATGATTCTGACCTGAATATATATTTTTTTAAATTATATTGTTTTCTCCCGCTCATGCCTGTGCTTTAAAATGTATATATACTGGCAGGAAAAATGGAAGAAAAAGATCAGCCCTACGGTTATGCTTATAAGTCCTCCACCATCCTCCCTTCTCTACCCCGTGACGCCCGTGGCTCCCTCGAGGTCTTCAACCCCACCTTCTCCTCCTCCTCCTCTGGAGCGACAGTCGGAGCAGCCGAATATGCCGCCGTCAGGCCCCATTTCTCCTCACATTTCGCCACCGGCCGGCACCCCCACCACTCCGCGACGATCCAAGAAGAAATCTCCAGGCCATGGATGGCGATACCTCCCACGTCCACTGCTCCTCCCACTACATCCGCCAACATTCCGGATATCGGCGCCGCGGAGAAACGGGCGGCGGAGTGGGGTCTCATCCTAAAGACAGACGGGGAGACCGGAAAACTGCAGGGCGTCGGGGTCCGGAAGTCTGATGAAGATACATCCAGGGCTCGCGGCGGGAGGGAGTCTGGGGGTTCCTATCGCAGCTCCGAAGATTCTGATGCTGGTGCTGGTGGGAGGGACAGGGGCGGACTGCCTAGGGTTTCGGAGGAGCTGAGGGAGGCGCTCTCTGCGTTTCAGCAAACTTTTGTGGTATCTGACGCAACGAAGCCGGACCACCCCATCCTGTACGCGAGCGAGGGGTTCTTCCGGATGACGGGGTACACCTCCCGGGAGGTCATCGGCAGGAACTGGTAATTTATAGATCCTTCACAGGTTCTTCAAGGGTTTTGATTTGTTTTGATTTGAAGTTTATTGACTTTCGTTTAAATGTTTGATGTTTTGAATAGACTTTATTAGAGTTTTAATTTAGCTGTGCTTTCTTTTTCCCCTCTGATCCGGTGTTGGTGTTACACTGGATGGTGTTGTTGGATCTGCATCGATAACCAAATGCTGTTTCTAAAATAATTAATGCGCAAGGCACTCAGCTTGACGATGGCTATCGTGTATTCTGAATTGTTATTTTCTCCACTTGCTTGCGCAGTCGATTCTTGCAAGGTTCTGGAACTGACTCTTCAGAGATTTCGAAGATAAGAGAAGCTCTGGCTTCTGGTTCTAATTACTGTGGCCGCCTCTTGAACTATAAGAAGGATGGGACGCCATTTTGGAATTTATTAACAATTGCACCCATTAAAGATGAGGAAGGGAATGTTCTCAAATTTATTGGGTATGCTATTACTCTAGCTTGTCTTTTTATTTTTCCATTGTATGGGGAATTCAACGGGGAATGCTATTTTGACAGGAAAAGTTAAACTGAATTTATGACCGAATATGATGGAGTTACCAAAAGCTAGCCAGTACTTTTTTTTTACCAATAAATATAAAGTATGGAAAAATAATATTTTATTAAATTCGGTTCATCTGTTTGGTCAAAATAGCATTGCTTGAATTGAAAATTTTAATTGCATTCAATGAACTGCATATTTTTACTGAAACATGTTAGCTTTTTTCATGGCACTATTGCTAAATTGTTCTGGATTACACTTTTATTGTGGTAAAGGATGCAAGTAGAGGTCAGCAAGTACACTGAAGGGACTAAAGAAACAATGTGCCGCCCCAATGGACTGCCTGAGTCTTTGATCAAATATGATTGTATTATACCCCCTCCCACCTCCCGTTGTCATCCTCCATTCGCTTTATCCTCAATTATTTGCATTTTCTTCTGTTATAATATTTTTTACAGCTAGACAAAAAGACAGGGCTCGTAGCTCACTCTCTGAGCTGGTGATGGCTGTAAAGGATCCTAATTCTCTTCCAGAATCAAGTGATCGGTCCCTGTTCAGAAAATCTGAAGGCGGATTAGATATTCTGAGACCTGAAGATCAGGGAAGAAGAATTTCAGAGAATGTCGCTCCATTTAGAAGAAATTCTCGTGGTTCAACGAGAAGTTCAATGCAGAAAATTGATGAATTTCCTGAAGGAAGAAAGAAACCAAGAAAATCTGGTTTTAGTTCGTTCATGGGGTAGGATACTTACCTGTTACTATTTTACATGATGATCTATATCATAACATGCTGCTATAATTCCATTACCATTTTATGAACTTCATTAAAAGTCCAGTTTACCAATTCAATTTTTATTCCTGATTCATTAATTTGAAACCAAGTATCAACATCAATATTGTTGCTTGGATGGTTATCCACTTGTATCAAGTAAAACTATGGTAGTTGTCAACTATTCCATGGGGCAATCCTTGCAACTGTTTCCTGACCTGCTTTTATAAAAAAATGTCGTCAAAATTCTGATATTCTGCCTGTTCTTCTTTTGGACTCACATGTTACTTGAAATTTGTTTCAGTTGTCATGAAAATCGATTATCAGCTTCTTGTTTGCTTAATTCTGATGTCTGAGTTTATTATAAGAGCAGAATATTTGAGAAGCAAAATTTGTTTGTACATATTTTGTTCTGTTGTTCATATCTAATTGTTAAAAGGAAAACTAAATAAAATATAAGGGGTACACTTTTCTTAAACCCTTTTCTCTTTCTCCATCTAGTCTTATTGGCAAACGCCCTGCTTATGTTGAGGAAGATGCAATAGCTGTTCCCTTGGAAGCAGATCCTCTTGAAGAAGATGATGATGAAAGGCCTGAGAGCTTTGATGACCAGGAAAGAAGAAAAGAAATGAGGAAGGGCATTGACCTTGCTACCACACTAGAACGGATTGAAAAGAACTTTGTCATCACTGATCCTAGATTGCCTGACAATCCCATTGTAAGACCTGAATTCAGATTACTGGATTAAACCATTTCCGTTCAATTGATGATTTAGAGGAATGCTAAACTATGGCATGAAACTTACTGATTGGTTTTGTAAATTTAGATTTTTGCATCGGACAGCTTCCTTGAGCTTACAGAATACAGCCGAGAAGAAATATTGGGAAGAAATTGCAGGTTAGTTCTGTTCTCTATTTAATAGACTTGTTCTTGTTAGTCATTTTGGAGTATTGCCGCTCTGTACTACTGCTTTTACATTCTAAATGAACGAATGCATATCTTTCTTCTTGTTACGCTAAGATGCTACGAAATTTGAAATGCTCTTTAATAGTACAATTCAACTTTCCAACTTTGCTTCCTCTTACTGCAATCTTGTGCCTTGAATTCTTTGTTTGATTTGAAGTATGTTTTTAATTTTTTCTATTCATTGTTAACCTAAGGTAAGCACATGCGGTGTTTTAGGATTATATCAATCGAAATGAAACCGTTTCTCTGTTATCAATGTCACTTATTAGCTAGGTTTTAGTTCAGTAAGAAAAATTAACGTTAACCAGGTCTAAATTCTCAAGAATTATGCTTCTGTTGTATTCCTATTTTTTTTCTTGGGTATTATGGTCATGTACTGCTCACCATGTGGTACGGTGGTAGGCATGAGTATTTGCTTTTTAATTATATCTCATATTTCAAGTGTTTTGCAGATTTCTCCAAGGCCCTGAAACTGATCCAGCAACCGTGAGAAAAATAAGGGAAGCTATAGACAACCAAAAAGATGTAACAGTACAATTGATAAATTACACAAGAAGTGGTATGCACAATTTTCTAATTGATTCGCATTGAAATCTAAATTGTAACTGACGGCTTTTAATTTGAGTGCACATGCCTATATGCCCTATATCAACATTTTGATGTAATACAGTTTCTTTCTCAAGATTGCTAAAACAAGTTTTACATTTGCTCTGATCTTTAAGTTAAGCTCCTAAATGCGAGATCTGAGAATGCTTCGCAGATTTGTAAAAGTGCTCTACCACCTCGATGATAACTGTGTTGAAAGTTAATCTTAATCGGAGGGGACCCTATATTTTTAAATGCTCTCCAAATTCTTAAAAAAATACAAATATATTAAAAGTTGATTATAATGTCACCCCGATGATAGCCGCTTTAAATGTAAATCTCAACTAGAGGGGTCAGTTCTCAGAACCTATTAAAGTTTTAAAATCTAATATCTATCAAATTCTAAACATTTAAATAGAAATTTAATCACTAAAATTTAAAACTAAAATCCGTCAACACTTCGCAATGGTTGGACAAGAATGATGAATTAAAGAATAACTTCAGCTCACAAAGAGCAGATGTCTTGTTGAATATATTACTATAATTCATTTTCAATTGATTTCACACCAGTATAGACGTGGCATGTGCCCTCTGATCGGATGGTTTTGCCGCAAAATAACATCACTATATGACGATCGCGGCCAAAGCCTGTATGTTCTCTAATGGTTAAAAGCCTATGGAGTAATGAATTATAGTGTGTGCTCGATAAAATATAAAAACCTTTGTTTGCTAAGGTCAACTTAAATTCACCACCTTAGGCAAACATACACATAAGGTCTACAAGTTATTTTTTTTTATGAAACAACCCATGACAGCCGACAAGGTTCATTCCCTGACTATGTAGCCCCGGGATGATGGAACCATGGGATCTTAATCGGGCATGTCATCATTCCCCCATCACCTACTTTAAGTATATGGTGATAAATTTCATATCTTAAACTCCAAAATTCAAAATCAATTTGAAAATGTAAAATAGTTGCTAGATCTTAATCGGACCTATTTAACGACTAGCCTTAATTGAAAGTTCTCTCCCGTTATCGAGAAGGGCAATTAACCATTGGGGTTTGCATCTATGAGAAACCATAACTCAGATCATAAAGTCCTTACAAAATAATGACAAAATCTCTAGCTAGTGTCTTATCTAAAACCCAATCTCTTATTAAAATTTACCCCACAATCTAATTATGTTAAAACTCTCCCCATCAACAAAAGGAGCGGAGAGGCTGGGGCGCGAATTTCCGGACCTCATAGGTGTTTAGGATAAACATTCTCTCTTCTCCATCAACTTGGTCCTAGTTATCCTATAAGCTCTAGCATTCATAACCTATCCAATCGAATACTCTCCAATCTCATCTATCACATGGTGTTGCATTTTTATGAAAGTTTGAGAGGTTCTTTCATTCCTTGTAACATCCCTTTAACTATCTTCTTATAATAATTGCACTTCAAATAAACATATGTTTTGTCACTTACCCCAACTTCTATTTGCACACACTGTCTCCACGTCTATCTTTTCTATGATATGCGCATTTCTTCTTGTCTCTAAAAATTTCTTACAAAAACCTAAAATGGAAAATTTTATTCAGACAAATTTAAAACCTGTAAGTTGTAAACCTCAGAGGTTTTCTTGTGGTTCCTCATCTTCAAGTTCCGCAGACCAATTTCTTTCGTTTTTTTCTCTTGGCCGGCTTTTCGCCTAGACTCTTGTCTCCCCCGGTACGTCTAATCGTTAGCTCCGCGCAACTCCCTTCCTTATGCAACTATGGCGCACCGCTGCTTCCATTTCAATCCGTGCTGCTGGACCGATTCTTTCGTTATAGCTGCTTTTGTTCTCTTTTTTAAAATGTAATCACTATAAGAGCAACTGATAAGAATGATCCGCATAAAAGAGCTGCATAGCTCAATAGCCCTGATTCAAACAATGCCTAAAAATTCGTTTTCAATCTGAAATCACACAATTTCTGGACCCATAAAAAGTGGGATTTGTGCTTGTGGAAATTACCGAGCTGCAATTCTAGGCGATGATGTTGTCATTGCTGACGAAAAGGTGGCTCAGGAGTCTAAAAAGTTGAAACGATATTGTAAACGAGCGTCAACTCGAGCACTTTTTCAACAAGTGGATTTTGCAGGACGAACTCCTTCTTTCTCAATCTTTCAATCGAGCTGCCGAATTAGTACTGCAGGTTCAGTCCAGCAATTTGTAAACCAGCAAAAGAGATTGGAAGAAATAAAACCCTAATTGAATCATGCAAAGAAATTATATTAGCACAGGCAAAAAAAATAGAGTTTAGAAATTGTAACCGGCTTGAGAAAAAATTTAGTTGGAGAAGTGGAAATCCTTATGGAAGATTCAGGCTTGGCAAGGAGGGAATGGCGGTGGCGATGATGTTGGAGATGGCCGAAGGTAGTGGTGTTGGAGAAGGTCTACGGGTGCTTGGATGGGGTGCTTGGATGGAGTGGACGAACGTCTTGGTCCTGTGGGCTTGCATGTATGTGCTAGGATGTTAATGTAAGTATGGGTATTGAGTATACTAACGTTTAAATACTATTTATATTTAATAAAAACACATCACTAATTAGAAAGAGGAAGGAAGAGTAAGATCAAGAAGGTTATTACTAATAAAGTTCCTACGTCAATTTGGCATGAAGTGCAATCTTTTTCTACATCACATATGCTCATATCCCAATTCCGTTTACAGGCTGAATGATATTTTTACTAATGCAATTCCCAAGTGCATGCTGAAAACTGGCTATTAACTGTGAATGTTCTACAAGTTTATGAACAGCAGCAAATCTTGTGCATATACATTGTAATTATGTATATGTGGATGCTTTAAGCCAATTGGGGGTCTTTTTTGTTTTTTATTTGTTTCATGTTTTTTTAAACTATTTTTTTTTAATAATTTTTTAAAACACATCAAGTTGTTTTTAGAGATAACGCAATAATTTTGAGGTGTTTTGCACCCCGCTGTCTTTGCCTCAATGGCTGTCGCCACGGCTATGGTACCACTTAACTTAATTCATTCGGTATTCAATAAAGATAAAAACATCTGTTTTAAGATACCAAACATATTTATTTTATGTCAAAATATAAATAAAACAAAATTAAATAAAGAAAAAAAAAGTGATCCAAATGGCCCTTTATTAAGTCGTTCATGAGGCATTTATAATCAAGCCCGAGATACTTGGTTAATTTCTTTGGTAACTCCTAGCGCTCAGCCTTCCAAGTGCAGATGCCATATCAAATGATTACCAACATCCATTGTGGGCTTCTTTTTGTTGATCATTTACCTTTGTATATTCTTAAAATACCTGTTAGAATCGTTGGCTCATCGGACTTGTGGTAGGGATTGCATAACATTCTTTTCTTTATGTTCCATCCAAAAGAGTGGAGTTTTCATTGAAAATAAATTTAGCAACTTCCGTGACCTTTACTGAAGATTTTTTTGATTTGGTCCGTAAGCTTCCGAATCATCTTACCTAACAGTTTTACATTCTTATGATGCTAATCATGTTTCTAGTTTTATATGCCGTATGAGCAATGTGATGAATTGTTCTTTGCAACAGGAAAAAAGTTCTGGAATCTTTTTCACTTGCAACCCATGCGTGACCAAAAGGTGCCATCTTTAGAAATATGCGCAGTTTGTTCTTTTGGTCTTATTGATGGCGTGTAATACGTTTGTTCTGACTGCTGCTATATGATTTGCAGGGGGAAGTGCAGTACTTCATTGGTGTGCAGTTGGATGGTAGCGAACATGTTGATCCTGTCCACAACTGTATACCAGAGACCACTGCAAAAGAGGGCGCAAAAGTTGTATGTAATGTCTTACTTTAACAGTTTCCTCCCCGTTGCTTTGGATTAAGTCAGTTGTAACCTTGAGATCTTAATTGTTCAAATTGATTAGTAGCACTAAGGATTACTCATATCATGAAAGGTAAAGCAACCAATTGTAAATTTGATAGCAAACCATAAACGCTACAACCGTACAAATTCACAATTTTTAGAAATAGTTTAATGCCAACTTATGTCTCAACAGTCATGACGAGTTTACAATCTACCCTAATTAACTCTGGAAGATTTACTATAAAACCTGATGTAGAATTAAATGCATAGGTAAGTATGCAATGTTTGAAATTAGACGCCTTTAAATCAGAACAACAATAATTAATTTAACTTTTAGCGATTTTAAACAAATCTTGAAAACAAGCAAGAAGTGAGTTAAGCTTAGATCAAATTACACGATAAGAGTTAGAATCATGAATAATCAATTCCAATCAAGCTTAGCATAACATGAGAGATTTTCAAAGGAGATAAACATTTAGATTAGGTATTACTTGGATCCACTCACTCACACTCTCAATGTTTGGCTAAGCGGAGAAGTTGTACAACCTTTATGATGCCACAATTTTAAATGGAGAACTTAGAAATGCAAAGACTTGGAGGAGAGTTCACCTTTATCTAGATTTGGAAACGATTTGCCATTGAGTGGGTGAGAGTTGTTTGTCAATAGCGACGGCGAGGGAGAAGATAATCCTTTCGACGTAGTCTTCAAAGGTTTGATCGATCTTCAAGTTGATGTCGAAGAACGAAGATTTGAGGATATCAATTTGCCCTTGATCGTCCTAGAAAAATATGTGGTCTTGTTCAGGATCTGCCATACAATGGAGGAAGGACAAATTTTAGATTTTGTGGAAGTGTGGTAGGGAAGACATCAATTAGTAAATCTGAAATTAATTTCAGAAAATTGGAAAATCTTAAATTAATTTGGAGGAGGAATAGTTGGGAGGGAAATTAATTTGATAGAGCAAAAGAAGGAAGGGGGAAGAGAGAGGGGGCCGTCGGCTAAGGAGAAGGGGAGGGGATGTGGGAGGGAATTAAGGGTTTGCCAATCAAAGCCAATCTCAATTAAAAAAGAGGCTTTAATGCAATTATCCTTTGAAATTAATTTCAAATTTAAAGGGCCTTGATTGGAGGGGCTTTCCAACTATAACTCCTCTTGATTTAGGAAATTATTTCAAATTCGAATTGAATTAAAATATGAAATTAAAACTCTTCTAATTTAGATTCATCACATATGGAAAGTAATCAATTTAGGGATTTGATTTTTGGAGGCAAGGGGGGGATGATTGGGGATGGTGGCTTAAGATTAGGGTCAGGGGTGGCCGGCGGCTAGGACTAGGGTTTGGTTTTGCATGGTGGCTAGGATTAGGGTTGGGTTTAGGTGGCGGCTAGGATTAGGGTTAGAGTTTGGGGACCGGCGGCTAGGTGGAGGGAAGAGGGCCTTGGGGCTGGCGGCTTGGAGGTGGAAGAGGAAGTGGTCGGCCTAGGTTTGAGGTGGGTGGTGTGGGTGTTTGATCGAAGAGGGGGGGGGAATGGGAGATGATGCCGGCGGCTTTAATAGGAGAGGAGAGAGGGATTGGCGGTAGAGGGAGACCATAAACCCTGACACTTCCTGCGGTTAGTGGGTATTACACCGCCCTTACCTAGTGTTTTTGCTCTCAAGGGAACTTTCTCAACTCTTCCAAGCACATGTGTAGAAATTTTGTAATAATATTCATCATTACCCTCAAAAGATGAGGAGGTGGCTTTAAATAGCCAATCATACAATGAAAGAAAAAAAAGACCAACATGCCCTTTGGGCTTACATAGGACTATTCTCTCAAGTGAGAGTACAAATGGAAAATATGTAATAATAAACTCAATGCAAACATAATAATAAATTTAATACAAATAATAACTCAAAAGTAAAGCAGTGCAATCGTGGCCGTAGATCATTAGCCCCATCTCTGATGAACTCTCCATGGTCGAATGTCCTCATCAAAACCTTTCCGTTCCTATTTATTTCTGAGAAGTCCGGATTCTACTAAACTGGAGCATGCTAATCTTTCTTTGTTCAACCCCTCCAAAATACCAAATCATATATGACATTATTTGAAGTTTTGAACAATTGTCTGTGAACTTTGTGAGCTACCAAACTTCTCCGCTGTGAACAATTTTGCCGTTTGAATTGGCATCATAAACCTGAACTTGCTCCATTTCTTTCTCATTAGTTTCCATTTCAAGTATTACTGCTAGTCATAGCTTCTTTTAATTTTCTTTGGTTAGTCCTGCGTAATCTCTAATGTCTTTGTTGATTATATGTTCTTCTACTTTGTCAATTTTTTTTAGCTGCTTGCCTCATGCTTGACATGTTAACTTTCTGATATATGCAATTATTATTATAACGTGAAACATCTATTCTAAGTTCAGATTTGCAAGTCATTTTAAAAGGGCGGGGAGATCACGTTAAGTTTTCCCCTATACTATACGCTCCACTGTTTCCCCCCTCCACCCCCCCCCCCCCCCCCCCCCCGATATGTTATTATTGGAAAAAATGTTGGCGAGCCATGTGAGCTCCTAAGGTTCTTTGTGAATAGTAATGGTCATTTGAATAGGAACTGTCATGTAATAAAGAGTCCCGTATATAGTGTTGCATAATCTTGAGGGTTTTTTTTAATATATGTATATTTTTTTCACAAATCTCATTGCATCATGTTTGATTAAAGTGTCCAACTACTCCGATGTGCTTTGACAGTATTGTCTGGATTACCGTATATCACCTTTCCTGATTGGCTTCTTAATGCAAATGCACCAGGTGAAAGAAACTGCAGAAAATGTTGATGAAGCTGTGCGGGAACTTCCAGATGCAAATTCGGTATGTTCATTGGATTGTCTTTTTACTACGTGTTTATCTATCTGATCCACATATATTTTTTTCTCCGCACAGAAACCAGAGGATTTGTGGGCCATCCATTCAAAAATTGTCCTGCCGAAGCCTCACATGAAGAATAGTTCATCATGGATAGCCTTTCAGAAGGTTATAATTTCTTGAAGAATAGTTCATCATGATCTTCATTTGTCTTAACTTTGGTTAAATTGTCTTCAAATGATTTTGAACTTTGAAATTATCTCAAAAGCTTTTGCTATTCAGGCTAATAGTAGCATTGCCTTGTTTATTAAACTACTAATTGATATGCTTAATGAAACAATTCCATCTATTCTGTGAGAATAGCTGGTGTTGACACACTACAAACTTTATGTTTGAGCATGTTATAAATTCTTAATTTGCTCACATAAAAAAAATTAACGCAGATTCTTGACAGTGGAGAAAAGATAGGCCTGAAACATTTTAGGCCTGTTAAATCCTTGGGATCTGGTGACACTGGCAGGTTGGAGCTAAAATGTTTATTATCTTGATTTTCATGACGTGCAATTCCATTTAGTTTTTGTCTATTTAAACAAGGGCTTAAATCTGTTATATTTTCTTGATAGTGTACACTTGGTGGAGTTTGTGGAAACTGGAGAATACTTTGCCATGAAGGCTATGGATAAAAATGTGATGCTTAATCGCAACAAGGTATAAATACTTGGTATTAAATGTTATTAAAATTTGATATTATGGAGTGCTTTTCATGTTAGATGCGCTGAAATGCATTCATCATCTGATCAGTTTTGTTTTATTCTATAACTATCGTACTGTACGCTGTGTGGTTTATGCAGTATTTTTGTTTCAGGAGTGGGAAAATATGTTTGATTCTGTATATTCCCTTGCTTCCATCTACATGCTCCTTGCAGATACTATACTTGCAGCTATTCTCCACATTAATCCAACAGCCTGAAGCCTTATTTCTTTTCAACAGATCTTTTTGATTGATCTGTTTTAATCTCATATGTCCGGAATTTTGTCTTAGAATGTCAACTTTCAATTTAGTTTGCTTTGCATTTTATATATTTCTTTGACATTTTAGGCTATACGTTTAAATCATGACCATCATCATTAGTCTTGTTGGAACTTATTAGGAATGGCTTTTTGAATTATCATTTTTCTTTCATTTGTGTTGAGTGCTTACAGAGATGTTAAACTTATTCTTCATAAATCCTATTGAATAACTTCTATTCATATTGAAAAAAAAAAAAATCTATAGAATCTAAGTGCTCGAGCATGAGGTTTGCTCATGTCCTCGCACCCTCGCATATGACACTCAACCTGCTTGTTCGTGCTCCCTCTTCATTCGCTCAATCCTTTACTCCAAGTGCTTGTGTGCAAGGGTCTCTCACACCCTTGTGCAAGGCACTCGACCCGCTTGTTCATGCTCTCTTAGCTTTGTGTCATAATTTGTGTGCTTTGATCTTGAAGTCCTTTCATATGAGGCGAAATTATTGTGTAGTGTCTTATCTCTATTTAATTTGTCTTTCAAAAATTTTCTCCAAAATATAATTTGTTAAAACACTCTCTGAATTATGCGGAAAGGCTAAGGCCCCAAGAGCTCAAATTTTTGGAGCTCATAATGGGATTTGAATTTTGTTTTCTCAATATGTTCCAGTACTTCCAAATTCATATAATCTAGTTTGAAGGAACCTTTGATGTAAGGATTGTTATATTTAACATCTCTCTAGAAACCCTTTTTTAGTTAATTCTTGTTGTTCCTTTTTTTTCTTATTGGTGATTTGGCTTGCCATGGACAGCCCACGATACCCTTTCTATGGGTTCTTAGCAATTGTTCAGAAACCGCTGTAGCTTATGTTGGGTTACATCAGCATCATGCAAATGTTGAGGAATTATTTTAAGTGATTCGTTGTTTAAAATTGAGTTCTTTAACCGAATTAAGCAGGTTGAAATGCATCCTCCATTTCTAATTTTTTTTATTAAGTTTTCTTGCATGCAAAAGGCAATTTCTGTGTTTTTCAGTCTTACATTTATAGTTGTCTTCTCCTGTTGCAGGTGCATAGAGTTTCTGCAGAAAGAGAAATTCTTGATACATTGGACCATCCTTTTCTTCCAACTCTATATGCATCTTTTCAGGTTTGTTTGATGTAATGTTCGTGCAAACAGTATACTTTTTTTTTTTTAATTACAATCTCATAACTTGGCTTCATCATGCCTTTATGATGATATCATCCGATAACTGGATATAGTTTTCCTACAATGGTATCTGGGTTTTCCTTCAATGTTATCTGGACTCTGGTTATTAATTTTTTTCTTAATACATGTATTAATAATGGATGTGCTTGTACTAACCAAATCTATAGTTTGTCTATATGTCATATAATCATAACAGGCATCATTTAGCAAATAGAAAAACTTTTTTTTAGTTATCTCGTGAAAATACATGGAAATTGAACTGATAATACAGTAGAATATGAATTTGGTATTGCAGAGCTTCTTTTGGCCAAAAAGGATGAACTCCTGGTTTGTTTCTTTGAAAAAGTGAAGTTCCTAAAGCTAGTACTCGATAAATTAAAAAAAAAATGGTTAGTACTTGTTACATGAATGGTGGATGTTGACATAGTCAACTTAAATAATAATGCATATGCAAGCCTCCGTTTAAAATTTATCTGATTAGGAAAAGAATTGATTTATGTTATGATTCTGAAAATACCATGGCTCTTCAGTTTTTTTTTTTTAATCTATGATTGTTTATGAAATCTGTAACTCTTAGGAAACTTATACCACCCAAATAAGGATCAGTCCAATTGGAGATCTACTTGTATTCTCTAAATGCTGCATATCCTTTCTAGTGCACTTAAGTGGAATCTGGGAAGTTTAATTATGAACTATGAAGCGTGTTATATTAGTAATTTGAACTCAGTTGGGGTTAAGCATATCTTCATGTGATCATATATATATATATATATTGTGGTTACTCTCTGGTGGTATTATCCACACCTACACCCAACATTCATTTTCAAATGAACTATATGATGCCTCGTAATGATGTTTCTATTGTAATTCACCTTAAAGTCTAAGAGAGCAACAAATGTAGATGACATTATTCTGGAACATTTTGCAGACAAAAACACACATCTGTCTAGTTACGGACTATTGCCCAGGTGGGGAGCTTTTTATTCTACTCGACAGGCAACCTCTTAAAGTCCTGAAGGAAGATGCCGTTAGGTAGACTCCTTCAAATTGCAAGGATGTATTATTTGTTTTTAGTTAATTTAGTTCTCTGCGTGAACTCTCTTGGATCTTTGTTTGAGTTTTATGCCTGGTCATTTTCATTTTCTGTCAAATGAATTGCATGGTGTTTGTTTCAACCTTCTATGCAACTTCAGCGGTTAATCATTAGCGAGTCAAGCGAGCAATATTTTAATATTAAATTGTATTGGTTAAAATTTCTGTTATTTGGCTCCAACAGACTTTTCTTTTTGGTCTATATATTTGATTAAACAAGTTTTTATGATGAAAAATTATTAGTTTGAATTTTATATGCTATCTGATTCCACATTTTCATTTCTGAAGTTTTGCACTAATCTTCTGAGTGTTAGTAACACGATTAACTATGAATACAGATTCTATGCCGCAGAAGTTCTTATAGCACTTGAATATCTTCACTGTCAAGGTATGAAGCCAAGTCCAAGGTTGGGTATTGTAGCAATCGTAATTTTTAGCTTTCCTTTCTGCATCTTATTATCTGCTGTTTGATGATCTACTGCTATCATGAACATCATGAATTTAAGTGCGATGGCACAGTTTAAGTCATCAAAAAAGATTTCTTCTCAATTTTTATGCATGTAGGAGTATTTCTTTTAGGGAATAACGCAAATGCTTAAGAATGGAACTAATATTTCACTACCAGTTAAGCTAAGAAAAAATTTAATATTGGCCATTTATGAATGCTCCATGATGAGGACATCAGAAGATCGACGACTATGATGTGGAGTTTATTATTTTCTTGTGTCTTATGTACTAGTTTATTTTGTTTTCCTGTTTTGCCATTTTACCTCTAGGGGTGGTCATTTGATATTGTAGCCCCGAGGGCATTTATGTCTTTTAGTTTTTGTTTCATTTTGACCTATTTATAGGAGGCCTCATGCATTGTATTAGATGATGATTCATATGAAATTTTCAGCTTGTGCTTATGGATCTCTTTGTGAGTTCTAAGTTTTCTCTCTTTGGATGATCTCTGAGTGAGTTCATGAGAGGAGAGGCCCAAGTGGGGCAAAAGCAATACTCGGCAATCTTGGTGGATTCCAAGGTTCGCGGTTCTCTTATCTTTCTTTTTCTTTAATTTTTTTTCTTGCATCGAATTCCCTCCCACCCGTCTACTTCCATAGCTTCCATCGCCGGCCATTCTCACCCCCCAAATTCTCTCCCAAATTCCACCACCTCAAGCCCCTGTTTCCCCCAACCCCACCAGACTCCCCGGTTCTCCGGCCGCCGGCCATCACCCACTCCACCTCCGGACCTCCCCTCCTCCCTACTCCCACTCAAACCCCGGCCCACCCCCTCTTACCCAAGTTTGAAATTCAAATTCCTTTGGCCATTAATCACTTTCCTAAAATAAGTTTAAGCAATTAGGAAATACATCAAATTGAATTTCAATGAAAGTTTGAAATTTGAATTCTTTCCTAATACTAAAACTTACATTTGGTAACCTCCCTTTTTAAATTAAATCTGAAATAAAATTCAGATTTGATTTAAATTAATTACTTAAACATTGGGGCCCACCTAATTAAAACAAATCCCCTTCCTCCTCTCCCTATATGGCCGGCCCCTTCATTGGATTTTTCTCTCCTATTGCATTAATTGCTCCCCATTTAATTCCCCCTAAATTCCCTCTCATCCACTTTAATTCTCACAATTAGAATTTGAATTCAAATTTAAATTCATCCCGCCAATTTTACTTAATCTGAAATTAATTTCAGATTTCTAATAATTGCACCAAATCCTAACCTAGCCCTAGCCGCCCCCTTCTCCACCTTCTCCCTCCCGAGCTCCCACCTCTCTTCTCTTTGGGAGATACCTGGTGGCTGTCCAAGAGCTACAGCAGGCCAAGAGCTAAAGCCGGCCAATCCTGCTGCCAGGATTTTCCCGATTGGTCATTTGTGCTGTCCAAGAGGCCTCCGACGTAGCAAATTACTGTCCCACCTCCCAGGTTGTTGTTTGGACTGTTGTGGGGAGTCTTTGAGGGCCAAAAGAGGTTTCCCACCATCACTTGCTGCTGTCTACATGTTCCCAGTTGCTGCCTACTCAATTTGGTGGCCTACTCTTGCTGCCCTGCTGTCCAAGAAGTCAATGATCGCCCTCCTCAAGGTTCCCGAACCCTGACATCGATGCTTACTCTTCCTCCAGTGCTTTGGGGATCAAACCGGAAGCTTCGTTCTCTCTGAGTATTTGGGTAAACTCTCCTCCAAATCTTTAATCTCTTAGTCGCTTTTCAATTGTGGTTATAGGCGATTCAAGAAGGGTCATGTCATATTCTCCGCTAAAGCCTAGAAGTTGGAAGAGTTGAGTGAGGGATCATCTTGTAGTGACTAGTCTTATTGTTAGTGGAGGGATTCATTGTTGAAACCTACCCCGCATGCAACGTTAAGAGTAATTGATTACTTTTGTGGTTTTAACTTTTATATATGTGACTTAGCCTAAACTTATGATACCACTCTCGTGTTTTATCGCTTAAAGCTTTTAAATAATATTGTTCTCTAGATCAAGCGTGCAAGTTCCTAATTCACCCTCCATTCACATATGTTTCACATCATAAACTCCTAAATTCTTTGCAGACATAAGACAATTGTTGCATAATGGCCCGCAAAAAAATCAATTGATTTTACCAAGGAGCTGTTCTTAATGTAATTTTCTTCTAGAGTAGGAATCTAGATAAAAGGAGAAGTTACGAGGGTTTCAAATGATCAGTGTGGCTGCTGGTGTCATCATGTGAGTATAAGCATCAATAGTGATATGACTATTCACTCTAGTATGATGAGGATTTTTATCTTCATCATCATGATGTAACATGATTACTAGACTGTTTATCATCGTTATCATAGTGATGGTCGCACTTCTTTTAGCAGGTTAGACTGCTCTTCATGCAATGAATTTCATGATCCCAATGCCTTTATTGATTGGTTCACCAAAGTTGAAGAAATTCATAGCTGGAATAAGATGGCGAATGACAAGTGAATTGAGTTCATTTTGATTAACTTGATGGGGGCTATAAAATGCTTTGAAGAGGAATGCAATATGAGCTTCAAATTGCAAGAACGCCACCTATTGACCTATGGGATGCCACGTCTTTGCGCTATAGCAAACAAATATCTACTTTAGTATTATCATCAAGTTGTTGCACCACTGCAGAACCCTTTAACAAATTTCTCTTTCTATCATAAACTATTTGAATAAGTTTGAGGACCCTGTCACATGCAACCTTCCAAACTAGCTTGATTGGTTGATAATGTCTAAATTCATTCAAGGCATTTGCATGGATATGCGTATGGTTTTTGATCCATAGAAACCCCAGCATAATTGAGACCTATAATCACATTTCAGTAGCAGAGATATTTTAGAAATGAAAGCAATTGTTCAGAAAATCTATTATAGAAATACTACTATCAGCCAATAAATTTCGTGCTTCTCTTCTTGTTGGTCCTAGAACCATTCGTCAATCTATATGGTAAAAGTCACTGCTTTACTCAAATTCTTTCTACTATAAATCAAACACAAAAAAACTAATATTCTGCTTTTATTTTACATCCAACCAAACAACTTTAAATTGAATCTACTGAATTTATTTTACACTGAATTTATTTTATATTGTATTTCTTTTTTAGCAAACCAAATGGCCCTTTTATGTAAATTTTAGAATATATTTTTAAGTCAATGCATTCATGTTGGGTTCTAATTTTATTGGACATTATGTCATTTAAATTGTCTAAGATAAATGTGATGAAATTTGTACCTAAGATTACTTGCATGCTTGGCCATACAACCTTTTGTCTGCAAGCTGCCATATTGTAATGTGATTCTAATCATAGGACTGTTCTCTTGTGGTAGGTATAATTTACAGGGACCTTAAACCAGAGAATATTTTGATTCAAAGGGATGGACACATCTTATTGACTGATTTTGATCTATCTTGTTTGACATCTTGCAAACCTCAGGTGCTCTATTATGAATGCTGCATTTTCACTTTTTTATTCATGATGATCATATTCTCTAATCTTTAGCATTTTTTCTTTCATTATTGTTTCTTAGATTCATTAGCATTAAGATTGTTTTTGGCATGCTTGAAGTGAGAAAAGTATGTTTAATTTAATGGTAGATGCATTTGATTTTTAATTCGTTGTCACCAGACATGTACGTGTACAATTGTGTGCTGTATTCATAATTTTTAACAGTTTTATTTAAAATACATATGAATAGCCTTATCGCTAGAAATACAAAAGGAGTAATTGTATAAAGAAAAATAAATTGGTTAGTAGCTGTATAATTTTGCAGAGCTCTTTTAGTTGTAGGTCCGTCCTTCTGAGATCCCCGTACTGTTTTGAACCTTCGAATGCAATTTGCAATCGGAGAATTGGAGAAGGGGTTTTGGATATCAACAAATAAAATGATAGCATGCGACTACTGTAACTTGATTTAAGAAGAATCTTATTAATGATAACTGACATACATTTCCTGAAACCAGCAGTTGAGAAAACTTGAGGATTTACATGGTCTATTTACACTAGCCCTATGCTACAATTATGTTGAACTTAAGCTTTTATCAAAGTTCTAACAAGCAATATATAAAATATGTAACTTTTAAATGTTTGAATGAAGTTCTTTGTTCTTTTTTTCACTTAAGCTAGTAAAACAAGATCTTTGATACAATATTATTATCCTTATGTTAGAGCTATGGTTGATTATCTAGATTAGCAACTATCATTATTCAATCTCATGATGACCTGTTAATTTACCTGAATTAACTGCTTGTCATTGACCTTTGTTGATAGCTAAGCATTTAATGATGAAATTATCCCGTATAGTTTAAACCATTAAGAGCCACACCGATTTGTACATTACTCAATATAAATTTATTATTGAAAAGTTTACAAAGACATTTTTTTAGAAGAGAAAGTTGAATAAAATTATGAATCATTATAAGGATTGATCAAATACCTAAAATCAAATTTTAGGTACAAATAACTTACATATTCATTTTTGGAAAGTTGCTCGAATATTGGTGTAGTTTACCAATTTTTTTTAATAATATCTTAAGGATTAACAGGATATTTAGAGAAAAAAATATAATGATACTATTCCTGAAGAATAAAGATATTCAGGATTGTGTAATTGTGGGTAAGTCAAACTTAAGAGTTATGTTATAAAGTTATAGAACATAGTTTTAGAAATTTATGTCAGTATTAAATGGCCAATTTAAATTTTTACTAGAAAAATATTCTGTGTTAATTAATCCAAAAAGAGGAGAACAATTAACATATATTTTTATGGGTTTTATCTTTTTTTTTTTTAAAGCATATGATCTTACTTAAAAGCTGATTTGATGGGTTTTAAGGTGAAATTATGTGCCTAAGATATGTTGAAGTTACTAAAATTATTTATCATATAGAGTAGTGACTAGAATTAGTAGTTGTTGGATGACCAAATATTCTTTAATCTTAGCATAAATATGTCAAGAATGAGCATTGAGGCAATATTTTTTTTGGATATGGAGATGCTTATAAAAAGTATTCGATGTGGTATCTTGGTGTGTTAATGAATGTAAAATCAAATTGTGGAACAAAGTTGGGCTTGATATACTAATAATTAAACTCATTTTCAACCCAAAAGTTTTTATCAATAGGTAAGTAACAACTATTTAGTATTCTACACTAACATGTTTTTTACTCTCTGTTATGGGTTTAAACCAATACTATCATTTGTCTTAATAATCTCCACTTGCATAAGAGCTCTCCACCTCAAACAAAAGTTTTTAAACATTATTAAGTAAAGTACACCCGGAGTTTAGACCAATAAGAGCCATAAACCCTATGACCACTTGATCCAAACTAAATTATTAGTTTTAAGGCCACTTCTTAAGGAGTGTGAACCAAAGGTGGGCCAATGCTCGGCCAAATACACTAATGATCAAATTTATCTTCAACCCAAAAACTTAATGCATATAGTTGTACGATTTGGGCAAATTTGAAATTTGAATTTTGACAGATTCGTATTGTACAAAAGATTTCATACTGTACGATTATTAATGCATCTTGTCTAATTTGGACTGTAGATCATGCAATTGAATCAGGATTAAATTTGATTAACAATCGTATTGTACGATTCACATCATCCATTACAATTTAACAGGAGCTTTGTTGGACGAAGTTTGGTTTGTCTTGGACAATTCTTGATTCAATATAGCTGATTGTACTGTACGATTAATAATCTTACACTTCCATCTAATAGAACTTAGAAACATATGCTTAATTAATCAGATAGTACGATACACTTTTTGTACTTTACAATCAATACAACATAATTAAAAATTAGGGTTTTATTTAAATAGTCCATTTTATTCTTTTGAATTGAAGAGAGAGGATGTAAGTAGCCTGAGACTTTTTGTTTGTGAGAGAACTTTGGAGAGGGAGAGATATCTATTTGCTTGTGAGAGTGTCCAATCCACATGGCAGAGAGAAAGTGAGGTGAGGGAAAATTCCTTGAGCAAGTCAAAAGGTGTGTGAGGGAGTCATATGGTTGTCCTCATCGCCCATGACCTTGGGTCCTCCGGGTTGTGGTTTTGGAGCTCTTGAAGAGGAGCTCTAGGGAAGAAATCTTTAGTCGAAGGGCTTTTGACTAGCAGAGGAGGTTTTGGGAGCAACATCTTTGTCATTGCGAGGAGTAGGAGTGAGCAATATCCCCATCATAGCGAGGAGCAAAAGGAGGGAGCGACATCTCCGTCGTTGCGGGAAGCAGGAGTGTTCAGGCTTTCTGGGAGGAAGAGTTTTGTGAGGGAGAATGGCTTCTCCATCTTGCTGAGTGCAGAAATGGCATTTAATAGTGAAATTCTTATAGAGGAGGACCTTTGGGAAGTTGATGTTGGTCGAGTTTGACCGAACCACTATAAAAATTATGGTTTACTTTTTCTTCTACTTTTTCTGCATTTTATTTCTGCAAGCTTTACTTTCTGAGATTTGTGGTTTGATCATATTGTGATTGCTATCTTTCGTTAGTTTCAATTATATTAGTAAGAACATTTGCTTTGAATAAATCTTCAGTAATTATGAAAATATCTTTTTGTATTGTTGCTTTATTGTTTTCCAAAGCTATAACTATTATTCAAAGTTATTCTTCATTGCATATTGGTTTGTTGCTCTTTAATTAAAATTTTAAAATAACCAATTCATCCCCCTTCTTAGTGTTTCATAGTATTTTCATAAACGTTTTGACAAAGTGTTTTCATCATGAGCATTGAAAGAGTCATCTAAATGTAGCGTGAATTAGCAAGAAAGGAGGGAAGTACCTCAGAAAGAACTTAGAGATTGTAGGTATTAATTGGGTAGAAGCTTGGATGATTAAAAATATCATGGAGGATGGTTTGATAACTTGGGAAGGGGGATTCTTTGTTTGTGCAATAGAGCAAAACCATGTACAAACATGTGCTGGTTTGATGGCTTGAGAGTAAAATGTGGTTATTTGAAGTGATGAAAGTAGACATATAGTGGTAAGAATCTTGAAAATTTTTGAGGGAGCTCTTTAATTATGCTTGTAATGAGCAATTGGTCCTGGAAGTTAGAGAGAGAGGGTGTTAAGGATAATGGATGGGGATGCATAATAACTTTAAAATCTATAATGATGGAGGTCAAGGAAGTAGAGGGGTTAGTTTGACACATGTTTTTATATAAGCATAAATTAATGAAGTGTGTTAAGGAATGGAAAAAGATTTATTGCATAAATAGGATGTGTTAATGTTTGCTTGTGTATGTGATTTTTTAGTTTAAAGTGAGGAAAATTAATTGAGTTGATCATCTTAATTAGGTTTTTACCAAAGAAGGATTGTTTGACTTTTGGTAGCAATGTAGGAATTAATATATGTTGGAGTTTGGAATAGTGTGATAAATGGGGTGGGGTGTAAGTGGTTGATTAAAAGAGGCAGGAGGTGGCGATCAAAAAAGGAAATGGGAGAATGTTATGTTTTAATTAGTATTTGTTGACCTGCTGCTTAAAAAAAAAAGAAATTCCAATTCTTACCTGCTCCCCTGCCGCAGCACGTCGCACGACTCGAACGTCGACGTCGCCTCACACACGATCGCCAGCACGACTCGTTTGAGTCGTTAAAAGGCTCGAGGAAATGAGGCCTTCGACCTCCTCTCCCTGGCTCCCGAACTCCCGATCTATGCTTCCTCTTCTCCGATTCTCCCGCAGCTCCCTCATTTCCGACCCCACTTCCTGTCGGAACGAAAGTTACGACATTTTGGCCGGACGGAAGAACTGGAGTTCTCTCTCTGTGAAGTTAACTTTCTCCCTTCCTGCGCCTCTTCGGCCGAATCCCGTGAGAGAGAGAGAGAGAGAGAGAGAGAGAGAGAGAGCTCCCTACCCGATTTCCTCTTCTCCACCTTGCCCGACCACAGCCCCAAGCCGAACTCCCCCCTCCTGTCGGATCCAGCTTCCGCGACCAAGGCCGAGCTCGATCTCCCCTTGCCCGAGCTCTGATCGTGCCTCCCTACCCGATTTCATAAGGTAGTCTTTAGGTTATTATATATATATATATATATATATTAGTGTGTGTGTGTTTGTGGGAGGATGACCAAAAAAAAAATAATATACAAAAAAAAGCTTTGCCTCGATCTTCGTTCCCTCCACCGCCAGTCTCCGGGTCCCTGAAGGTATAATCCCTAAACTCAGGCTTTCGTCCTCGGCGTGTACGTCGGGCCGGTAGACCACCTAAGCACGCCTTTGTTGAGCGTGGTAGGAGGGAATTCGGTCCGACGCCTACGACGAGGCGGACAATCGCCTTCCCTCGCCCTCCTACTTCGACGTGCGTGTCGAGCCGGCGGACCACCTAAGCATGCCTTTAGTGAGCGTGGTAGGAGGGAACCCGGTGCGACTCCTACGACGAGGTAAGTAAGCGACCCTCGCCCTCCTGCCTTGACATGCGTGTCGAACCGGCGGACCACCT